GATGATGTAGAACAGCGGCATTCGGCGTAAGAGAAGGGTGAACACGACGGACGAACGGGAAGGTATCTACGAGATGTGAGTATATACGCATGAGTGAAAAGGAGGTGACTCGCCAATAGTTTCATTTCCATGAAATTCCAAGTTTTCTCCGTTGCCCAGCATTCCGATCGAGCTCGAAAGAAGCCCTGATCTCTAATGAAAATGCAGGCGATGCCAATCTAATGATCTGCAAACAGAAGTTCAGTCCTCAAGTTGTGTCTGAAAGTTTCAATGAGCTTGTACAAGGTTGCATAGTATCGGCCCACGCTATAGAATTCGGACAATAAGACTCCAATGGCTAATTTCCAGCGCCTGGTCAAGTCGAGACAGTACGTGCTCAGAAGGTACTTGTAAATTTGGCCCGCTGACGACTATCAGTGTAGTGAGGATCACGAGACAGATACGAAGGTGGTATGAAGCGACCCACCTTCGATTTTGATGTATCGACCTTCCAAGCTATCGGGCATGATGGTACGATGAAGCAAAACGACAAGGATGGAGGATGAAAGAGTGGCTGAGAGTTCAGGTTAAGTTGTACTTGCGCTGCACGTGTTGTTGACAACTGTTCGGCACGATAGACGCTTCAAGGGGAGTGTGTGTTAAAGAACTTCAAAAGAAGTGGACAATGTCAAAGATAGCGAAAACGGCACATCATGCATCAATGCATCATGGTTGAGGGGGGGTGTTGTGGAAACAAAGGTAACAGTCTGCCATCGCAGGTTGCACAGTTTCGGACGTTGTTCGGACGCATTCCAAATGGTTCTGAACTGAAAATTAATGTTCCACCAATCCGATAGAAGAGATATATAAATAGAGCCCCCTGACTACTACTGTTCGGCTGGCGATAAGGTATATGACCTCGGAAACCAACTCATTGGCTGAGACCTTAGGTTTACTGAACACAGCTACACTTGATAGAACTGCTGTATATGTGCATCAGACGCATACCAGCTATAAGCGAGGACTGATTATGTAAATTTCCGAGCGGTGAACGAGGTCTTGTTCATACCTTGCTGTACGTACTACTACGGAGGCGAACAATCTCGGACTGGTACTATGACCCAATGCGGAATGCACAATCAATGGGTGATGCGCAATGCACTCCAGAGCTCACAACTCTACATATATTTCATTCGGTAAAGTCAAGATCCACCCAGATCCCATCAACCTATCAACATAGGAACTTCAAGATATATAAAATACACCATTCTGAATCTACTCCAGGTGTTTCTATGTTACAATAGAACACTACTACAGCTTGCTATTCACGATTCATGAGCAAACCGTGACAGTCAGGCTAGATCAGGAAATCACACTCTCGGCTTGATTGAGTCTCCGCTTTGTTTGCATCTGGTGTTAATTGAATGGGTGTGAATTCTTCGCTATGAGCACTGTCGGACTTTCGATACAATTGTGTATTGGCCGAGGTGCCGCGCGTGACATAGTGTGACGAAGTTGTGCATTTCTGTTGTTTTTCGACATCTCAACTTCCGGTGCTGCCGCTGCAGCAAGCTCACAACGAAATAAAAGAAATTCTTGTTGGGCCTAATGCGCAGAGACCTAAGGTATACACTACAGTAGATCCGATATGAATATTTGAATATGTGTTGTTGTTGTGATGTTATTAGCAATATAAGTGAAATTTGTGCATTTCCCATGGAACGATAGTAAGAGTCACTCATCACCGGACTATAGCCTTCCGAAGTGGGCCTAATCATGATGGTGGCGAACAATTCCCTACCGGTGTTGTTCAAATAATGAAGCCCCCAAGACTCTCCCCTCATCTGATCCTTCAAGCTTTCAAGTTTCACTACAACCCCGCTCTCGAGTTGATTTTCATCACCTAGTATTACCTCATGTTGGCCCTCACAAACGTCACTGCGCTCGACCTATGCCTTGCTTGTGTCGGAGTATATCTGCTTAAGCAGGTCTTCAACAAGAAGAACCCTCCGTATCCCCCTGGTCCTCCGGGGTGGCCTCTCATCGGGAACGTCCTGGACATGCCCCACATAAAGGCCTGGCTCACCTTCACAGAGTGGGGCAAGCAGTATGGTGCGTATCTCTTGTTTGACACAATCTTGCATTCCAACGTCTTGTCGACAGGTGACATTTCGCATATCAAGGTCTTGGGTCAGCACATCATAGTGCTGAACTCTGTCAAGGCTGCGATGGACATGCTGGACAACAAGGGCACTATTTACTCTGACCGTCCGGTTTTGCCTGTTGGTGGTGAACTCATTGGTTACAAAAACGTTATGCCTCTTCTCCCTTACGGTGACCGTTTACGCCGGTACCGCAAAAACTTCCACAGCGTCATTGGCACCCGCGCCACTGTTGCCATATACAGCCAGGTTGAGGAGGTCGAGACTCACCGATTCCTCAAGCGTGTGCTCGCGAAACCCGATCAACTGCAGGCACATGTTCGACAGTACGTATCATTTATCTTTGTATCGACACGATCTTGATTTTTAGAGCACCACTGGCGCTGTGATTCTGCGCATCTCTCATGGATACGAGGTGAAAGAGAACGATGATCCCTTCGTTGACCTTGCAGACCGCGTTATGAACGAGTGGTCGCTTGCCACCGCTCCTGGCGCTTTCATGGCTGATGTTGTGCCATTCTGTAAGCCATAGCATTCATATATCTGCTTCAAACGGTCTCACCATTCCAGTGGTCAAGGTCCCCGAATGGTTCCCTGGTGCTGGTTTCAAGCGTCTGGCCCGTGAATGGCACGACGACCTTGAAGAATTGATTTTTGCACCGTACAAGTTCGTCGTGGATCAGATGGTGACAATCATTTATAATTCTGCCAGTGTGCATTGATTGAAGTTTGACTTTCACAGGCTGCTGGCACTGCCCCAGAGTCTTTCACCTCGAATCTGTTGAGAGACGGAAGTTTATCAGCGGAAGACGAGCACAGTGTGAAATGGTCTGCTGCAACCCTATATGCCGGCGCTTTTGACACTGTTGGTCCCTCGCTCTATATTTCTGGCAATGATCTTCTGACAGCGCCACACTTAGACTGTTTCTACTATCAATGGGTTCTTCCTAGCTATGACGCTATTCCCTGACGTGCAGAAGAAGGCTCAGGCTGAAATAGATGCTGTTATCGGTCCTGATCGTCTTCCCTCCTTCGCCGAACAAGACTCTCTCCCATACATCGAAGCGCTTGTTAAAGAGGCCCTACGATGGCATTCTGTTATCCCTACCGGTTTGTATATTTCATTGAACGCATTATTTAGTTGCTGAGCGGTATTTCAATGTCAGGTTTTCCCCACTGCGTCTCTGAGGACGACATCCATGACGGGTACTACATCCCAAAAGGTTCCATGGTCGTGACTAACATCTGGTCAGTACGCTCTTTTCCTATATTCGATGTTTGAACAAAATATAATGACAGGTTCATGCTCAATGACCCGGAGAGATATGCCAACCCTTCGCAATTCAATCCTGAACGCTTTTTAGGCAAGGAGCCTGAGACAGACCCACGCACGATCTGCTTCGGTTTTGGAAGACGGTAAGCATGCAGCAGGGTTTTGTGACATGCTAACTTTCTGCTCTGCAGTATTTGTCCAGGTATGCCTGACTCCCAAACTGTATTCTGACGTTCAGTTGATTTTGGTTTACAGGTATTCATCTCGCTGAGGCCTCTGTCTGGTTATCCGCTGCGATGTCACTGGCCGTGTTCGATATCTTGAAGGCCGTCGAGAACGGTATTGAGATCACCCCTGAGGTCGATCCATTATCAGGCACAATCAGGTATGTCATATATCTGATCTGAGTGATCACGTCCGGCGCTGATCCGGATATATACCCTTCTAGTCACCCTAAACCCTTCAAGTGTTCCATTGAGCCTCGCTCTTCAAGAGCCATCGCGCTGATTGAGCAGGATGCTAACTATTAAGTGAGTGAAAAATGTATCACAAATCTGAGGCAAGCGGTGATTTTCATACCTTATATCTAGGTCCGTCATAGTTTGAACTTTGTATCATAGTGCAGGATCGACTGTGGTGTCACGTCGCGATACAATTGTACACATATCTTCCTGTTCCATGTTGTTGACAGTGCTGGTATTAAAGACGCTTGTGGTCTACACCTCAGGCTTGACGCATGGTAGTTACTTTTGACTCCATCCGAAGTCATCACCACGTCCAAAACCTGACATGTCTGTTTCTGGGTGCGTCACTGTCACCGTTTTGTACCACGTCAACAAGCTGTTTGATGTTCGGTGTGCGATGCTCAGACTAGTGTACCTCGGATCCCTTGAAATTATCTTCATCACCCAGAGGCGCTGAATCCCAACTACATAAAGGACATATGAACATCTTTTCATCCAAGCTTACTCGCAGCCGTCTTAGCACATTACTTAACAAGGTACATGTATCCCCCCAATGGCGCTTCATTAACCATCCCAACACCACTCGTATAAGTTCGTATTTATACTAGTAATTTCTGTCTTGTCGGAAAAAAAGCAAAGGCAAGCTCCTCCAGAAGCATTAACCTCATTCCAACCCATTCGACATGCCTCGCACCAAGTTGCGTATGCGCGAGTGTTTTCCGCGCATCGTGTAGTTACTTTAGTGAATTTCTGTAAGCCGGTGAGAACACAAGGGTAAGACTTTGAATGAGGCGAGAAGATGAATCGAGGACGGATTGCTGAGGACTCGCTCGACTTGGCTCTCGAGCGCCCATTTGCCCGAGTAATCGTAGGAGTGATTGGCGTCACACAGAGCGACGAAAACTTTGCCCAGACCTGTCTCGAAATCTACTTCGAAGCACTAAATAAGCTTCATCAATACTATCACGAAAGTGGGAATAAATACAAGCAAGTTACCCTGCTCCTCCCAGAGCACTAGACTACCGCTAACTTCACCGAGTATCACACTACTGCTAGTTGATATATGAACACGTTCTTGGAAAGCGATTGAGGTCATACCGGTTGCTGCGTCGGAGTCGGCCATGAGCTTGGCGTGATATTCTCGAATGCTAAGGATCAGGCGTGGTCCTAGCACAGACATCTGCACGACCTCCGCAATTTGAAGAAAGTCGTAAAAAGTCCGAATGCCCAGGGAATCTATAGGAATGATGAATTGTGGTCACATGTAGAAGTGAAAGATTGACATACCGTTGAGATCAGCGTGGGAGAAATCAAAAATGATATGGGATCAAGAAACTGCAACAAAGCTATCATATCGGACTCTTCAGTCAAAAAAAAGGAATAAGAGTCATAACATGAGCTTGCTTCGCAAAGTAAACCACATGAGTTTTCATCAACACCGCGAAACAGTCCTCGATAATCCCTCCCGTCGAATGTCGTTGTAGTCCACGGAAGTGTTTGACAGCAATCCAGATTGCGAGACATAGTGCGAGGACCTCCCACACGGTACTGAATATCCAAGTAATAGAATTTAGAAGTAGGGAAACTTCCGTATAGGTAGTCGCGCACTGATGAGTACCGGAGAAAATGAGTTCCTCTAGTATTCATCAATGAGCCCCGTGCACGTTTGTTTTCATCCACAATTATGCGCACCTCCTGAAGTACGCATCGTTGCTATTACGACTGCCACTCCGTTGAAAATGGCAACAGCCAGGAAGGTGACAATGAGAAGTATCAGGATCCTTGATACATGGCATATAACCGAGTGATGATGATGACTTGCAGTATGTTTCAGTCAAGTCAATCACCGAGGTGTCGCAAGTGCCAAGCTCACCCCACAGCATTGGTATTTCAGCGCCTGGTCGAGTCGAGACAGTACGCACTCAGAAGGAACTCGTAAATTTGGCCCGCTGACAACTTCCAGTGTAGTGAGGATCACGAAACAGATAAGTAGTAAGAGACGACTCACCTTTAATTTTGATGTGTCGACCTTCTAAGCTATCGGGCATGATGGTGCGATGAAGCAAAACGACAAGGATAGAGGACAAAAGAGTGGTTGAGGGTTCAGGTTATGCTGTGCTTGTGCTGGACGTGTTGTTGACAACTGTTCGGCACGATAGACACTTCAATTTGTATGATTGTACTAAGCGTTGAGGCTAAAGATCACCAACTAGTAGTATTGGACCGGGGAGAATGTGTTAAAGAAGTGGACAATGTGAAAGTGAGTCAAATAGCGAGAACAGCACATCATGCATCATGGTTGAAGGGGACACGCGAGATCGAGGGTGTTGTGGAAACAAAGGTAACAGTCTACATCGCAGCTTCACGGTTCGGACGCACTCACAGACTTCAGGCGACACATGCAAAGAGATATATAAATAGAGCGCCCTGACTACTGTTCGGCTGCCAAGCGACAAGGTATATGCAAGAATGACCTCGGAAACCAATTCATTGGCTGACCATATCGCCTGAAAGAGACAAACAGCCCCTGTGTGGTAGTACTAGCGGACTATTATGTAAGGTCCATCCTTTCCGAGCGGTGAACGAGGTCTTGCTCACGTACCTTGTTGTAGTACCGGCAAGGCCGGCAAAGGCTGGTAACAGACCAATTCATACACTTCCGAAGTGGGCCCAGGAGTTTGCGGCCAGTGAAATATGTCCCACTGTAACACCCACCTCTTATCTGGTTTCATTACAACCCCGCTCTCAAGTTGACTCGGATCGTCCTCATCTAGTATCAGATCATGTTGGCCCTCACAAACGTCACTGCGCTCGACCTATGCCTTGCTTGTGTCGGAGTATATCTGCTCAAGCAGGTCTTCAACAAGAAGAATCCTCCATATCCCCCTGGTCCTCCGGGGTGGCCTCTCATCGGGAATGTCCTGGACATGCCCCACTCAAAGCTCTGGCTCACCTTCACGGAGTGGGGCAATACGTACGGTGAGTATATCTTGTTTCACATAATCTTGCATTCCAACGTCTTGTCGACAGGTGACATTTCGCATATCAAGGTCCTGGGTCAACACATTGTAGTGTTGAACTCTGTCAAGGCTGCGATGGACATGCTGGACAACAAGGGCACTATTTACTCTGACCGTCCTGTGTTTCCTGTCGGTGGTGATCTTATTGGTTACAAAAACGCTACGTCTCTCCTCCCTTACTGCGGCCGTTTACGCCAGCACCGCAAAAACTCTCACAGCGTCATTGGCACCCGCGCCGCTGTGGCAATTTATAACCAGGTTGAGGAGGTCGAGACTCGCCGATTCCTCAAGCGTGTGCTCGCGAAACCCGATCAACTGCAGGCGCATGTTCGACAGTAGGTATCATTTATCATTGTATCGACATGATCTTCTTGATTTTTATAGCACCGCTGGCGCTGTGATTCTGCGCATCTCTCATGGTTACGAGGTGAAAGAGAACGACGATCCTTTCGTTGACCTTGCAGACCGTGTTGTGGACCAGTGGTCGCGTGCCACTGCTCCTGGCGCTTTCATAGCTGATGCTGTGCCATTCTGTAAGCCATAGTATTCAGATGTTTGTTTCAAATGGCCTCACCACTTTTAGTGATCAAGGTCCCCGAATGGTTCCCTGGTGCTGGTTTCAAGCGTCTGGCCCGCGAATGGCACGACGACTTTGAAGAATTGATTTCTGCACCGTACAAGTTTGTCGTGGATCAGATGGTGACCATCATCTATAATTCTGCGAGTATGTGTTGAAGTTTGACTTTCACAGGCTGCTGGCATTGCCCCGGAGTCTTTCACATCGAATCTGTTGAGAGGCGGTAGTTTGTCAGCGGAAGACGAGCACAATGTGAAGTTGTCTGCTGCAACCCTATACGCTAGCGCTTCTGACACTGTTGGTCCCTCGCTCTGTATTTCTGACAATCATCTTCTGAGAGCGCCACACTTTTCCCCCAGACTGTTTCTACTATTAATGCGTTCTTCCTAGCTATGACGCTGTTCCCTGACGTGCAGAAGAAGGCTCAGGCCGAAATAGATGCTGTTATCGGTCCTGATCGTCTTCCCTCCTTCGCCGACCAAGACACACTCCCCTACATCGGAGCGCTTGTTAAAGAGGCCCTACGATGGCATTCTGTTCTCCCTATCGGTTTGTGTGTTTCATTTAACGCATTATATAGTTGCCGAGCGGTATTTCAATGTCAGGTATTCCGCACTGCGTCTCTAAGGACGACATCCATGACGGGTACTACATCCCAAAAGGTTCCTTGATCATGACTAACATCTGGTTGGTATTCTTTTTCCCATATTCGATGTTTGAACAGAATATGATGGCAGGTTCATGCTGAATGACCCGAAGAGATATGCCAACCCTTCGCAATTCAATCCTGAACGCTTTTTAGGCAAGCATCCTGAGACAGATCCACGCACGATCTGCTTCGGTTTTGGAAGACGGTAAGTATGCAGCAGGTTTTTGTGGCATGCTAACTTTCTGCTTTGCAGTATTTGTCCAGGTATGCCCGACTCCCAAACTGTATTTAGACGTTCAGTTGATTTCCGTTTACAGCTATTCACCTCGCTGAGGCCTCTGTCTGGTTATCCGCTGCGATGTCACTGGCCGTGTTCGATATCTCGAAGGCCATCGAGAACGGTATTGAGATCATCCCCGAGGTCGATCCATTATCAGGCACAGTCAGGTATGTTGGATATCTGATCACGTCCGGCGCTGATCCGAATATATGCCCTTCTAGCCGCCCTAACCCCTTCAAGTGTTCCATTGAGCCTCGCTCTTCAAAAGCCATCGCGCTCATTGAGCAAGATGCTAACTATTAAGTATGTGAAGATGAATTACAAAGCTGATGAAAGTACTTGCTGTGGGCGGTGTCACATCGCGATACAATTGCACACGTTTTCTTGTTCCATGTTGACAGTGCATACTCTGGCATCAAAGACGCTTCCTGACAAGAAGCCTGTGTGGTACCTCTCGCCCATAGTCAAGAGCACACCCAAATATTTTGGCTATCTATTCATTGATTAGCACCTCCATGGTGGCTACTTCTGGCTACATCACCAACAGCTCGCGACAGACTTGTCGTGCTGAGTGGCCCATCTTACTAACATCACGAATGTTCATCTCTCAAACTTTCAACTGCGGAGCCGCGAGATTCGTGGATGTCAGAACTTTCGAGTGCCATCGATTTTTATTATCTCCCTCGTTGCTCGTTTGAGCGCGTAGGATGGAATCATTGGTCTGACGCTTCTGGGCTCTACCGCAGTCCACATCCCTTCCTCTTCATCTCCCAATCCAATCCGGTTTCGAAATGTTGAGGCTTGGAAACTTTTTCTCTGAATCAGTACGAACCCGTTGTAAATCTATATGCCGCAAGGGTCGCCAATGACCGGACATGGAATTCCAGGGTCCTAGTGATGTGACGCGACCTACTCCGCGATTGTAGGTGGGCCTTGCTGTCATATCTTGTTGTCAATGCTGATTTCATTCCACCGTGTCTTCTATCATATTGAAATACAGCCTGCGATAACGGTACTATGACACTGCGCAGCGAAACCCTGGAAACTTCATTATACACTTAATATTTTAGAATCCAAGGCATGCAAATTCGATATGCCTATATGTCCACCATGCATCAGGTTCTAGTATCCTGGCTGCTGGCATTGTATATCATTGTTGAACGTTGAGCGACCGCATAAGAGGCATCGCACGACTTTGTTCCTGAGTTTTTCATTTTCTGCTAGCAGACCATGTCGACGCTCACCAACGTCGTTTGGCTGAACTCAATATGTCTTGCTGGTATCGGAGCATATCTGCTAATGCGGGTGTTTAAAAAGAAACAACCTGCACCATATCCACCCGGTCCTCCGGGGTTACCTCTCGTTGGGAATGTCCTAGACATGCCTCAAGCCAAGCCCTGGCTCACCTTCATGGAGTGGGGCCAGAAGTATGGTGGGTCCCTCATGTTTTGCCTAAATCATGCATTTCAAAGTCTTGTCTGTAGGTGATATCTCGCATGTCGAGATTCTAGGTCAGCACACCATCGTGCTGAACTCGGTCAAGACTGCGATGGACATGCTGGACCATAAGAGCATGGTGTACTCTGACCGTCCTGTTCTTCCTATGACTGATGAATTTGCTGGCTGGAAGGACACTTTACTTTTTCTCCCCTACGGCGACCGTTTTCGTCAGTACCGCAAACACCTCCACCGTACCATTGGCAGCCGGGCGGCATTGGACACCTACAACCTGATTGAGGAGATTGAGACCCACCGATTCCTTAAGCGTGTGCTTACGACACCCGACCAATTACAGGAACACATTCGACAGTATGTAATTCATTATTGATGCATCGACATAATTTTGAATTTTGATAGCACCGCTGGCGCCATCATTTTGCGCATCTCTTATGGTTATGAAGTCAAAGAGAGCAATGATCCATTCATTGGTATTGCAAAACGCGCCCTTGACAATTTCTCGAATCCCAATGCTTTCTGTGACTTCCTGGTTGAATTTCTTCCATTCTGTAAGTAAGCTACTAGTATAGCATTTTTTTTGGTCCCAATAACCTCACCCTTTTAGTGGCCAAGGTCCCCGAGTGGCTTCCTGGTGCTGGCTTCAAGCGCCTAGCGCGTGAAAGCCATGAGATGGCCCAAGAGATGGCTTCTGCACCCTACAAGTTCGCCATGGATCAGATGGTGACCATCATTCGTCCTGGTCATCGATTGAACTTGAATTTTATAGGCTGCTGGTATTGCTCCGATATCATGCATCTCGACTATGTTTGAAGGTCGAACTCTGAGTGCGGAAGAAGATGACGTTGCGAAATGGTCTGCTGCATCTTTATACGCCGGTGGTTCCGATACGGTAAGTAGGTCGCTATTTTAAATCATCATTTTTTAACCTGATCTTTTCAGACTGTATCTGCGATACATTCGTTCTTTTTGGCTATGACATTATTCCCTGATGTGCAAAAGAAGGCTCAGGCTGAAATAGATGCTGTTGTCGGTCCTGATCGTCTTCCCTGCTTAGCCGACCGCACCTCCCTCCCCTATATCGAGGCGCTTGCCAAAGAGGTGCTGCGCTGGAGTGTTGTCACTCCTCTCGGTATGTGTGTCGTTTATCACATTCCTGCGTTGTCAGACGGTATCTCAATGATAGGTTTTCCTCACGGCGTTAGCGAGGACAACATCCATGACGGGTACTATATTCCGAAAGGTTCCCTTATCATAGCCAACCTTTGGTTAGTATCTCCCTCGTTCCACGTTCGACATGTTCATGGAATATAACGACAGGTTCATGCTCAACAACCCGGAGACATATGCTAATCCCTCGCAATTCAACCCTGAACGCTTTTTGACCAATGATGGAAAGCAACCAGAGCCGGAGCCCCGCACGATCTGCTTCGGGTTTGGAAGACGGTAAGCATGGAGGTTATCTTGAAAGGAATTCTAACTTTCTGCTACCCAGTATCTGTCCGGGTATGCCCAACGCACAAAATCGGCCAACAAAGAAGTATTCTGATGTTGCTTTGTTCATTCACAGGTCTCCTCCTTGCTGAAGCCTCCATCTGGTTATCCGCCGCAAGGTCACTGGCCGTGTTTGATGTCTCGAAGGTCGTCGAGAACGGTGTTGAGATCCCTCCCGAGATTGATTATTCAACAGGCACAATCAGGTGAGTCGCGTGTCTCATAGCGCCCGCTGTGCTGGTCTATATAAATACACTCTTAGCCATCCGAAACCTTTCAAATGCTCAATCAAGCCTCGCTCTGCAGCCTCCACTCAGCTCATTCAGCAAGACGCTAGATACTAAGTGCTTGATCAAAGATGAACATAGTAGGGAAATACTCCTCGCCATGGGCGCCTCACCGGCGGGTTGCACACTCTTATCGATCGATATATAATCATGCAGCCAGTGGTTTTCGTTCTCTGGGTTGAACGTTCAAAGTCACGTGACCAGACGACTGGCCGAATGACATTGGAATTGCATCATCAAACCATTACGCAGTCCAGACTGTCCTCCAAGTGGGCATATTGATTTTGTCATGGGTAGTATCATAGAAATCCCAGTACTCACGTTTTCTGCTCCGGGCCTCCGGCCTAGCGTTCTGTGCACCGAATGGCTGTAATTTACGTACTACTCAGTGTGCTTGTTCGGAACTTCAAGCTTCAAGCTTCAAGTTTCGTACTAGCCGCCCTGTTCTTCCTATGGGTGGGGAATTGGCTGGAAGGACTCTTTCCCTCTTGTCCCTTACGGTGACCATTTTCGCCAGTACAGCAAGAACATCCACCGCGTCATTGGCAGTGCTGCAGTCGACATATACAGCCAGGTCGGGGAGGTTGAGACTTGCCAATTCTTGAAGAGGGTGCTTCAAGGATAGATGATACAAACTGCCGAATATGAGTGACTCATATTCAGCAGTATGTATCATCTATCCTTGCATTGGGAATTTTGAATTTGTACTATAGCACTGCTGGCGCTATCATTCTATGCATCTCCCATGGTTACGTGGTGAAAGAGAACAAATGTTCCCTTCGTCAACCTTGCAGACTGCGCTGTGGCCCAAACCTCTCAGTCCACGGCTCTCGGTGCCTTCATGGTTGGCATTATGCCATTCTGTAAATTATAACTTACATTCTGACGTTTACTTTTGATCTCACCATTTTACTAGTGGCCAAGGTTCCCGCGTGGCTCCTTTGTGCTGGGTTCAAGCGCATAGCACGTGAATGGCGTGAGACCCTTGAAGAAGTAGTTTCTGCTCCCCACAAGTTCGTCAAAGATACAACACGCTCGTAGCCACCACAAACCCTTCAAGTGTTTTATTAAGCCTTGCTCTGCAATGTCCATTGCGCTCATTCAACAGGACGCCAACTACTAAGCTTGCAAAGATGAAAAACACAGGAATGTACTCTCTGTGTGGGTAGCCATCTTCACACTTGCCATCTAAATTCGATCCGCCCGAATAGTTTGCAGTTTACATCCCAGGATTGTGGCATCACATCACGATATCATTCATGTTTTCTTGCCTATGCATGCACTGTTTCCAAAAATGCTTGCGGTCTATGACAATCTGTCTGTCTGACACCTCCAGCCTAATGAGGAGTACTTGAGTATTTCTTCTTCTCTATGTTCAATATCTGACATCTCAACCACCTTCGGAACAGCTCGTTGACAGACTGCTAATGCTGGGTCCACCATCTCACAGGGTGAAGAAATCCCCCCCTTTTCGGTTCAGGATGATATCCGATGGACTCATCATTCCTATGGGAATGCAAATATAAAAATGATTATTTGGCTATGACAGACAAGTTGAAACACGTGTTGCATGCTCATTAACATTGCATGTTTGCTCAACATATTCAGTAGCAATTCCGTACTCAGTAAGTCATGGTACGTCGCGTTTAGAGGTGCAGGTTCTTATTCATTGCATGGGCGAACTTTGAATTTGATAGTGCCACTGATAATCGAGTCTGTTCAACTGCCAGTGGGGGCAGGAAATCACATTGACTGTGTCTCTATTCTAATGTCACGATCGCTCCATCTCCCTTATTTTCAAACCTCGTTTCTCATAGGAACTTCATGCGCACACTTCATCATGGCGAGCGCCATTCAAGACAACTTACATCTCATCGATGTGTTGTCAACGTACCGATCTCCAAACTTGCAAAGGTAGAACCATTGGAGATTAGCCGACTTGGTCCCAACGATTTGCTCAGTTCTTTCCACGGAAGTGGACTAGCTGCGGCGTTAACATGCTGAGTTCGATCCTGTTTGTCTTTTGATATGCTACCGGACCACAGTATGCGCGCTTTCTCACAACAACGATATAAGAAATACTCGCCTATCATCGTCTTGAAGCTTAGCTAATTCTATCATTGACTTTGCTTGAATTATTAGTCTCCCAACTGCAAATAATTCCTTGTAATGAATAAATAAGATAAATAAATAGCTTGCAGTTGGTGGTATGAGCACATTACCTTGCGCAGAGGGCGCAGTCAAACCTTGTGGTGTCCAGTCAGACTATATATAGAGATGCCAGGACTGCAATAGTCAAATTCACTCTTTCTGGACCGCCGAAGGTGTCAGAGCGTCATTTAGCTGAGGAATAGCTGCATTGAAATTGGGATTGCCCGAATCACATGGTTGCAGGTTTGGCGTCGATTGGCCTAGCATCCCGGTCAAGAACTGAAAGAAAGCATCAAAGCACACATGTAAATGCTCACTTGGAGTAATATTGTTCTTTTCGCTTCTGCCTGCCGACATGGTACGTTCCAGTGAAGCACGTATGCCGGCGATGAATGATGGATCAGATAATAAAGGAGCATCAACTACCGCTCGCTCGACAATAGGATAGCTGAGAAAAGTAGGCCCGGTCATCAGTACTGACCAAGTGGAGATGAGCGGACGAACCGGTCGATTTCCCCTAACAGCTCACGCTGGATAGCATCATTGGGCATGGATATCAATTTTGGGTCAGAAGATAGCCGTTGTCGGGCTATATCATCGACACGAGACTTAAAGGCCTCAGTGCGTTCCTGTAGGCAGGGTAAGCGGTTGTGCCACGTATGTATTGGATGATAACTCACACTGCGCTGGAAATGTGATAGGAGATCACGTCTCAGACGGTCAAATTCGCCCGATTTTTTGAATCTGCGGTGTGGCTCTTAAGTATTACCCCGGTAGTATACAAAGTGACTTACTCGTCTATTAATTGGGTCGGATTGGTGATGGTCATAATACAAAGGGCGCATACTAGGCGCTGAGAGATAACGAGGTGACGGTGAAGGTGAGAAGGACTCTCGGAAATAAAGACCCCGATTCGGACATAAGCAGAATCTAGAAGTTCATGATCAGGATAATACCGCACCCAAACGAATTAACTGGGCCTCTTTATTTTCATCACAAACCACATTCGCTGGCATCTGGCGCGTACAAAAGTCATTTTTTCACCTGATCATCAAAATGACTCAAGAGTTTCCGACTCTAACAAATGACCTACTCCTCCGCGCAGCTCGCGGTGAGCAGACAGAGCGGGCACCTGTATGGGTCATGCGCCAAGCAGGGAGATATCTCCCAGGTACGCCGTCTAGATAACCTCTCCCTCCGATCCACCATAACCTACACCAGAGTTCCGAAAAACTCGTGAAACCCATGAGTTCTTCGAGATATGCCGCTCGCCCACTCTCGCAACAGAGATCACCATGCAGCCCATCCGGCGGTACGCCGGCCTTCTCGATGCAGCCATCATCTTCTCCGATATCCTCGTAGTGCCGCAGGCCATGGGTATGGAAGTGATTATGAACCCGGGCCCGCACTTCACTGATCCCTTGAACACGCCTGCGGACGTCGAGAAGCTGCCCCGGGAGGTAGATGTAGAGAAAGAGCTCGGATATGTGTTCGAGGCACTCACCCTCACGCGGAAAACCCTTGCAGGCCAGGTTCCCCTCATCGGCTTCAGCGGGGCGCCGTGGACACTTATGATGTACATGATCGAGGGCGGTGGAAGCCAAACGCGTCAAAAATCAAAGACGTGGCTCTTTAAACACCCTGAGGCTTCAAAACAGCTCCTTGAGCGCATCACAGACATCTGTGTGCAGTATCTCATCGGGCAGGTGAACGCTGGCGCACAGGTTCGTCTGCGTCTGTCTCATCGTGCATCGGATCACAGAAGCTGAATTATGACTACCAACAGCTCCTACAGGTATTCGATTCGAATGCTGGAGATTTGTCGCCGTACGACTTTTCTACGTTTTCTCTACCATATTTGAAGCGTATCGCGGACGAAGTCCGTGAGGGTCTCAAGGTCCGGCAACTCCCTGTCGTCCCTCTCACCTTATTTGCAAAAGGCGCATCCCCATCCCTCGCTGCAAGCGCAGGATACGACACCATCGGTCTCGACTGGACGCTCGACCCTCGGGATGTTGCCAAGGTCACTGATGGTATCATTGATGGTAGAACCATCACTCTGCAAGGCAACCTCGATCCCGTGGTGCTCTATGGCGGCAGAGAGGCCATCGAGCGCGAGGTAAAGAGGATGTGCAGTGCGTTCCATGATGCTAGGCGCGGTGCATGCAAAGCTTGGATTGCGAATTTGGGTCATGGCATCACACCAGGGGTTGATCCAGAAGACATGAAGTTCTTCCTGGAGTGTGTTCACAAGTACTCAGCAGTACCGTCTTCATAACGCGGGAGAGGGGCAAAAGAAGTTATAATTGTACCAATAGAATCATTTCATTCACGCTGCTAACAGGCGGGATGTCTTGAACGAGATCGCCCGCTCTCGCATATCATTCCATAGTGCCTTCTTGTAAGACAAGTGGCACGGAAAGGTAAATGAGATCAAAGCTACACGATATGAATGCTCGATGGATGGATGATTTGGGGGTAATGTGGACAGTGCAGGTACTGAGCCTATACAACGCCAGAGAAAATTTCACCATTAAATACAGAAAAAAATGGAAATGATCATTGTCAATAATAAAAAGTGCGAGAATTGACTGAACATGAACACAACAAAGCAAGAATATAGCTTGCGACAGATTCAATGGTATGGTGTCTATGCAACGACATCTGCAGCGCTAAAACTGCTTCTTCTCCGTCTAACGGGCCGTGGACCAGGGCGTTGTGAAGACTTGGAAGGAGGCATGACAATGGCAGATGCTCCTGCCTTCATCCACGATTCAGGTTTACCTGACCGCGTGGTTGGTAGCTCTGCCAGCGCGGGTGCAGGGTTATGTTTCTTGGTGAGTGTCGGTAATCGTGAAGGGGTAGGTGAAGGGGGTTGGGGTACACGGCGCGCTGATGGGGCACCAGGCCCTCTTGCGGCGGCGGTACTCCGGGCCGCTGAAGCTCCAGTCAATCGGGGTATCTTGTTAGGAGGTGGAGCCGCCGCTCGACTGCTCCTGGCGGCAGTAGTCTTCTGATGTACGCTTGTCGCGGATGACCGTAACACCCGCGTCGGGCGTTGTTCGGACGCTGTACCTCTTGCGCCCGAGACTCGAGTCGTTGTCCTAGCGCGAGGCCGGGCAACGGGTGGTGCTGCTCCAAGAGCAGGAAGGGTATCATCCATCTCCACATCTTCTTCGTCCGATTCAATAGCGACTCGTTTTGCCATAGGCGTCTTGCGTGGCTGTCCGGGAGGAGGCGTCTCACGCGTCCTCGCAGCTATGACAGCACGACCGGGGGTGACAGGTGGTAGGGGTAGAGGTGCTGCGGGTGGCGTCAACGACCTGGTTTCGTGCATGACTTCGTCTTGTTCCGCAGGAGGTGTAGCAGGAGTCACGACATGTGCGGTAGCTGCGACTGCAGCTGCCTGCAAGCGTCGTATCTCATCTGCAGCGGCCCACTTGGCCCATTGAAGCTGCATCTGGTGCATGTAATGTTGTTGTGGACCAACAACACAACCTGGCCTGACAATGCGCATAAACGCAATCGCCTCCGATGCCGTGAAGCCATACTTCCAGACAAGATATGCTCCAATGAGGCATCCGGTGCGACCGAGCCCCGCTTTGCACTGAGTATCATATAGATATGTTAGAACAGAAGCAAAAATACATATGAAATAACCCACATGTACAGCAACGACCCCACCGCCCTCGATGACGGCATCTGCCACATCAATGAAAGTGCGAACGATTTCGTCTGACGGGTTTGACCCATCTTCGAAACAAAGATCGAGATGTTTGATTCCACGATCCAAAAATAGCTGTTTATCGTAGAGCTCTGCATTGAGACGGACGACGAGGTCGACTTTATGCTTCTCAAAATAATCGAGGCAATTGCAGAAAGCGGAATTAAGTTTACGTTGTAGAGCAAGTTTGCGAGGCGACTTTGGTGGTGAAGCTACACCGGGTCGCACAGGGGATGCAGGAACTGCAACAGCAGTAGCAGTCTCGATTTCATTCCTCTGTTTTGTCCACGCATAATCTCTAGGTGAAGCAAATGCGATGAAGTTGGGTGTTATCCAGTTCCAGTCACCATTCTCGACCTTTTCATAGAACTCGTAGTCTTGGAGGTCGAAAGTATCCAGGTCGATAAGGCGGTTTTGAATTCCTTTCCAGAAACCCCACAAACAGTCGTGAATGCTAAGGTTGAAGGTTGAAGGGCCACGTCCTGCGTCTCTGAAGGACATGAACTCTAGTTCGCTTATGGGTTGGAAGCAGCGCCATGGAGTGTAATTATGGACGATCAACTGAAAGGGGGTGAATACGGTAGGATTTTGTGAGATGACGGTCATACCATGTACAATGCCATCAACAAAGCAGCATTAGCTTTACGACGTGGATCATCCGAGGAATAAAGAACGAGACGGTGTGCACTGAGATCTTCATCCTGTGGCGATCATGATCGCGTGCAAACGATCGAGGAGAATTGGACGCGTACCTTCAAAAGGCCGTGAATTAAGAGGCACGCTTTGTAGACCATTGCGAGGTTTAGCGGGCCCCAATCCTGATAAAATGAGGTGTAGAGCAATTGGTCATCAATTGTAAAGTAGTAGTAAATTGCGTCATCGTCCGGGGAGGGTGCTGAAGGACCAAGTGGTGCACCCATGTGGGGTTGGGGGCGAATCCTTGGTGCATTTCCTGAGTTCGAGGCTGTGCTATTGAGAGATTGGGGAGATGGTGCGGGGTAGGGGAAGGTAGTAAAGTAAAGTCTAGAGATAGGATTAATTCAGAAAATTGGACATGACCAGTCGTGAGCGGACTTTCCTGTCTCCAAAATAACAGAGCGGTGCGCAAGCTGGTGCCATGAAAGGAGCTCACTGTTGTGAACGGTGACTAGAGCAGTAGAAAGCCTCGTGGTGGTCAGAGAGAAAGACGCGGTTTGTGAGGCAGGAACAATTGCCGCTATCAAGCCTCGAGGAAAGAACCACACCTTACAAAAGGAAACGGGTCCCGTGACCGTCGCGTCAGGTCTTTGCTTTCTTCAATATCCTTTTGTTCTACTTCTTTGACAGTCAAAGTAATTAACTGCTCTCACTTGCCACAGGCAGCTTCCAGAATCATAAAGAGATCATCACCAAGAGTCGAGCAAGGATAATCCTAGTTCCCTGGTAAAAACAGTGCGTCTGCAACGAGGCAACCCGCTAAACAACGTGTGTGTACATTAATGTGCGGCAGTATCTAATTCTAGGCGAACAGACTAGGAAGCCTAAATGCAATACCAAGGGGTCACGGGCGTAACTGAATCGAGATAGACTTGCGAAGAACACGAGTATCCGAGTCGGATCTTATTACTAAGTGATGGATTGTCAGGGATCTTAGCGCGAATGGTTTCAAAGGCGGTTGAAACGCACTCTTGAGACATTGCAAACCCACCCACAGCTCATCACGGTGTAGTCCTGTAGCATTTCAGACCGTTGTAAGAAAAACTTCCAGGTCAGGCCTTGAGAGCTTGAAGAGCCTGAACAAAGTTACTGTGGTTGTTGCTAGTTTGTAGATGCAGTGCTGGTACATGATATTCAGTGATAGACATGCTCTCTACAGAGCTGAATGCAACTATGGAGTCCTTTCATGTCGCAGCGCTGAGAGGATGACATCGCGTTGTTTGTTCTTGTTGAAGCACGTGTATGTATCGGAAACCGCGACGCCGTCAGCACCAGCTCGCCTGAGGGTCCACCATCAAAATCGCTCTGATAGCAGGAATCACACGCATATACGCGTTTCGCTGTCTTCATCATGCCTGAGGGACAGATTTTCAAGGTGCTACTACTTGCTACCCGCTAACCGCCCCACACTGACCCCATCCCTGTGGCCCATAACCTTAGGCAACTTACAGTGGAATTCCCGTGTTCGAG